CTCCCTCCCATGACCGTGACCTCACTGCCCCTAAAATTCCTATTGAATCTCATGATTTGCTGTCCTCTCTCAACTCCAAGAACGTTTTTACAGGAGCACAATGCTCCAGGACATTCTTCTCCAGTGGAGTAAACTATCGATTTGAAAGACTTGAGGGCTATTGGGTTTATGGCTTCAAGATGACCTCAGGGCAGTAGTGTGTCAGGTGGTGCTCTAGCTCCCTGGATCCAGAGAATCTGCAGTCCTTGAGAATTGGAAGTTCTGATCTGCATCCCCCACCTTTTGATCAGGAGTCTGCCATAGAGTCCTAGATTGAGATGTTCAGGTGTGGTACCCGGGCATCACCTAGTTCTGCAGGTCTCATGGCAAAGGAGGCAGTTGTTCACGGAGGCCATTAGCCACACATTCCATCTGCTTCTGCGGCTTCATACAATCCTCCTTCCTCTGTTGCTACAAAGGAACAGAGACCATTCCCTGTGCTTTGGAAGCCCCACGAGCTGGACTACTGATTCACTGAGGCCTATCATTTGTCATCATTGTAGCCTGAAGGTTTCTTTAGGGGGGTAGCCATTCCCCAGCACTTCCTGCCTGGTCCTATCTGATCAAAGCAGCCGGGCTTGCCCCAGAAGCAAGTCCTCAGGCCAATAGCTAAGGACCCTGGCAGTTGGGAGGTTTGAACTGAGGGCATCGAGGATAAGGGCCTATCCCAGGTGCCTGCTATGTTGGAGGGTGTATTCCTCTCTGGAGGCTGCTGTGACAAAGGACCATAATTTTAGTGACTTATCACCTCGCTGTTCGGGATGTCAGAGTGAGGAGTGAGGCTCGCTGGGTTGCACCCAGGTGTGGGCAGGTCACCATTCCTTCTGGAGGCTCCAGGAAATATCTCTTCCCATGGCTTTCCCAGTATCTCCAGGCTACTGGCCTCCCTTGGCCCCAGCCCCACCCTTCACCATCCAAGCCTGCATGGTCGCATCTTCTAGGCTCTCTGCATCTCTCTCTGTCTGGACTCTGCGTCCAGGGTCACATCTCCATTTCTTTTCTTCCTTTTGGGCTTCTTACTCAAACTCACGGCCATCGAGTAGATGCTATTCATGGCATCCTATAGGGTCCTATAGGACTGTCCCCATGGGTTGCCAAGGCTGTCCCTCTCCACAGTAGTAGAAAGCCCCATCTGGCTCCCTTGGCGTGGCGGGTAGGTTCAAACTGCTGACCTAGCACTTAGCATCTGTAGGGAGCACAAACTTCTCTGCTCCTGTCTTGTCATGGATCAGATGCTGTCTGATGCTGTGGGTTCTGACTGACAGCGACCCCAGGTGCAAGAGAATGAAGCCCTGCCTGGTCTGTGCCGCCCTCACCATTGTTGCCATGGTGGAGCCCACCGTAGCAGTCCTTGTGCCCATCCATCTTGTCCAGGGCCGTCCTCTTTTCCGGGGACCCTCTGTTTCCTCCAAGCTTGAATGATGTCCCTGGTCAAGGACTGGTTCCTCTTGATAAGAGGTTCAGAGCCCATGAGCACGGCTCCGTTTCTGACTCTTACCAGGACTCCTCAGTCTCTGGGAGGTACAAAGGGGCAAGTGCATGGCTTGCTAACCAAGAGCCAGAGGTTCATGTCCACTCGGATACCAGGGAAGAAAGGCCCGGTGATCACCTTCCCCCCCAAACCAGCCATCGGAAGTCCCGTGAAACCCAGTTCCGCTGTGACCAACCTGGGCGTGCCACAAGTCAGAGTCTGTGGGACAGGAACTGGCTTCCATGTGATGACCGGGACCCACCCCCATCACCTGCCTTCTCTGTCCCTCCCTCAATGACCTCGAGCCCGAAACAGACAGAAGAAGAATCAACGCACAGGAACGATGCTGCTGGCGAAAACCCTTGAACGTACCAAGGCCTGCAGAGAGAACAGAGGTCTGTCTTAGAAGAAGTCTGGCCAGAATGCTCCTTAGCAGCAAGGCTGGTGGGACTTCATGTCACGTACTCTGGGCATATTGGGTTCAACAGAGACCAGTCCCAGCACAAGGACATTTGCTCAGGAGAGTGGGAAGGCAGAGAAAGAGAGGCAGGTCCTCGAGGAGATGGGTTGGCACGGTGGCTGCAACCACAGGAAGGGGCTGTGCTTCTTTCTGTTGGGAATGAATCGGGCAGCTAAGAGTTGGTACCAACTCCAGGGCACCTTGCAACCCGATGTAGAGCCAGAGACACATACACACCCGGCAGACCTGCAAAGCCAGGGTCCCTTATCACCCACCAGCCTGCCTGCCTTCCTTCCTGCCTCCCACCAGACCCTGAAGAACCGGTGGCTGCAGCAGTACAGCAACGACTCAGCGGACCCCGGCATCCTTGTGCTCCTGGCCTGTGGCACCATCTCCAGCACCTGCGGCCAGATAGCCAGTTACCCCCTGGCCCTGATCCGGACTCGGATGCAGGCCCAAGGTGAGGCGGGCCCCAGTGACTTTTACCCACGTGTGACCCAAGAGAGCTGAAATTCAAAAGGGAGAGCGGAGGTCACCAGCAGCGGAGGGAGTGAGTCTCATAAGTGTCCGGACACCTGAGCTACTCCTTTGCAAGGTGGGGTGATCCTTAGGGAGAGCCTGAGTGAAGGAGGGGCAGGGCCAGGCTGCCTTTGGCTTTTGTCTGTACTGTATTCTAGAGAGGAGTCCTGGTGGGACAGTAGTTAGGCTGCTAATCACAAGGTCAGCAGTTCAAAACCACCAGCCGCTCCTCAGGAGAAACACAGGGCTTTCTGATCCTGTAAAAGAGTTACGGTGTCTGAAACCCACAGGGACAGTTCTACCCTGTCCTAGAGAGAGTAACCATGAGCTGAAATTGACTCCACACTCTTGTATCCTTAAGGGGTCCCCTTTGGGTTTTGCGTCTGTTCTCCCTGAACTGCAGGAGCCTGGGCAGCACAGTGGGGAATGCATTGGGCTGCTAACCATGAGGTCAGCAGTTCAAACCAGCAGGCACTCGGCAGGAGACGCTTTGACTCCTAGAAAGAGTGGCAGCCTCGGGAACCCACAGGGGCAGTTCTACTCTGTCTGCTCTGAGTTGGAAGCAAGTCAATGGCAGTGAGTTTGGTTCTGGGTTCTCCAGGTTTGCAAACCCCCTGGAGAACTTCAGCTCCGGTGTTACAGGCTCTTCATTTAGACTTAGCTGGTTCGAAACAGGACCACCACCAGCACCACCCCAGGCTCACAGCAGGAGGGGAAAATGATGCTAAGCAAAGGTGTTCCACGATTGAATATGGACTCCGGTGGGAAGAAGGGAGAGGAAAGGTACCAGTAGAGCTTCCTTCAGGAGGTGGCTTTCAAGGCCATAAGGTGAGGGGTGAGCCAAGAAGGAGGGGCCTGAGCCTCCCAGCCAAGGACACTGCTCTGCTCTAAGCAACATGTACGTCCCCAAATGCAGGCCTTTATAAGGGGCATGGGGCGAAAAGGGGGGCAGCTAGTGGAAGTCCCAATTAGGAGTGGTAGGTCCCACTGTTCTGTGGGTCTAGCCTTGCTCCTTCCTGCTGCAGGGGGGGAGAGGGTGGGGCAGGGGGGGAGGGTGCGAGAGGCCTTTGGGGCTGACCTGCTCCCTCCCGCACAGCCTCCATGGAGGGCACCACCCAGCTCTCCATGCTGAGCCTGCTCCGACACATCCTGTCCCAGGAAGGCCTGCGGGGCCTCTACCGGGGCATTGCTCCCAACTTCATGAAGGTCATCCCAGCTGTGAGCATCTCCTACGTGGTCTACGAGAACATGAAGCAGGCCCTGGGGGTCACGTCCAGGTGAGGGGCCCGAAGCCCGCCCCCAGGATACCTCGCCCCAACTATGACATCCCCCTTACCTCAGCCACCTAACACTGGATCCCACATCCCATCCTCCCCAAACACTGGAACCACGATCCACCCAACCTGGATCCAGGCCACTGGATCTCCATGCTTTTGCCACCTGATCCTAGAGTCCCCTTACCCCAGGTCATGGCATCCCCACACTTCAACCTCTGGACCCCAGGCCCCAAATCCTGGATCCTGGTACCTCTGCCCAGTGGGCCCATAGGATGCCCACTCTTGAGACCCTGGGTCCCATTGCTGAGGTCCTGGGTCTCTGCCATCCAGCTGTGGGGACCTTACTTGCATGACCCACGTCTAATGTCCTGACCTCCAGATCAACAGTCCCCCACAGCCCCACTCTTAAATTCCAGCCTCCCATGTCACTGGGTCTTGCTCCCAACTTCCTAGCTACTAGATTCCCACCTTCCCCTGTCCTAACCACTGGGATCCCCACAGCTCAGCTGGTGGATCCTGAGCCTCAACCACATATCCCCAACACCCGAACACCCGTTTTCCAGCTCTCCCAGGCTCCAGATCCACTGTCCCATGTTGCACTGGGTCCTTGACCCCAACCCTGCCATCAAGCCCCAGAGCTGGATTCAGGCCTGGGTCTCCAGGCCCAGTCACTGGAGGCTAGAGATGGAGAAGCCTGCAGTCCCCGGATGCTGACAAAGGAATACCTAGGTCCTGGGGCCCCAACCACTGGATCCCCCCCCCCCCCACACACACACACACACACACATTTTTGGATCCCTGAGTCCCTCTACCTTGACCATTGAATCCCAGATCCCTACGCCTGGACTGATGGATTCCCTACATATCAACCACTGTACCCCCAACCTGCAGCACTGGATCCCAGATCCCTAAGCCCCAACCCATGGGATCCTGGCTCCTTAAGCCACAAGCATGAGAGGCCGACAGCACAGCAATAACCAGATCCTGGCACTGCAGCTAGTGGGAGGGTCCCAACACTGCATTTCAGATCACTTGATGCCATGAGCAGGCTGTGACCCTCATCCCATCCAGGGAAATCAGTCACTTGATCCCCACTACTTGATCCCTGAATTTGAATCTAACTCGCCCGGGCACTCAATCCCCAGCCATCAGACCCCAAGCTCTAGGTCCAGGGTCCCACCCCCCAGCCCCAACACACATACAGGACCCCACGGTCTTGGGAGCCCAAGGAGAAGCCCATGGGAGCATGACCCTCGGGCCCCACCACAGGCATGGGAGTTCTCCACGGCTGGTCCTGACTCAGCCCAGGCTGGGGAGCAGGGAAAGGGGTACACCTGCCACTCCCTGCTCGGCCCCCACCCAATCCTCCCCTGACCTCATCATTCTGGATGACCGGTCCCTCAATGCCCCTCCCCTCTCGATAGACAACTGTCCGCTGGAGTTCTCAGGGGCTGCTAAGGAACCATTCTGAGGTCAGGGCGCCAATGAAGGGGATCTCCCTTCACCCCAGCACTGCCAGCGCTTCCCAGGCTTTGTCCCTCAGGCCTCAGAGAGTTGAAAGTCTGAAATACTACCCTGTGGACCCCCTGCCATGAAGCTCAGTCTCCAATTACACAACAATAACCCCAAGGTCAAGTCTCCTGTCCTATCAGAGGAGCAAGCACCCTGCCCCAGTCTCCGCTCTCTCTCCTGCTTCTGCACTTTATGGCAGAGAGCTGAGGGTCATTGGAAGGGGAGGTCTTCCCCCCTCCGCTCCTTACTCTCTGGGGAGACCTGCTGAAGGACCATAGTAGAGGAACTGAGGTGTTGGAAGGGCTGGAGAGCCCCACGGTGTCCACCTCCCTCCATTCACGGCCGTGCCCCCTTCTGCCCATGTGTGTTACTTCATAGGAACAGCAGCAGCAAAAAGGATAAATTTTCTAAGCTCTTTCCTTGTGGTTTTTACTAAAAGGGGTGCTGGGTGGGTTGGGGGTCCACCTGTGCCCACCCACAGGGAAGAGGTCACGGAGCCATCTCCTCCCATACAGTTCCACGAGACCAAGACATGACTTCAGTGGCCACATCTACAAACAGGGAGCAAAGGGGGGAGCCCACATCCTTGGGCGGGCCCAGCAGTGAACTCCCTGGGCTTTGAGGGCACGCAGCACAGGGGCTTCGGCAGAAAGGCCTGGCGAGCCATGTCTGAACGCTGATGACACAGCTGGTGACCATGCCAACCCCACCCCCCAGCAGCCACTTCCATCCATCTGCAAACCACACTGCCCCTTGCCAGGTCACTGTGGCAGCCCTTCCCAGGCAGACAAACCGCGGGGAGCAATTAACCTAAAAATCAGCACCATGGGGTCCGCGACAATGAAGGTCTTCAAACTTTCAGAAACCGGCCCTTCACTCGCCTCTTGGTGGGTTCAAACCAGCCACCTTCCAGTGAATAGACCAGGCTTCACCGGTTCCTGGGGGAGAAACTCCTGTGGTGCAGTTCCCCCTCCGGAACAAGTGGGGATGCCATGAGTTGGGACGGACTCCAGGTGGGGGATGAACCCACAAGCGCGGGCGGGAGACAGGCCTGGAGATCTATCTGCTTCTGACCAGAGACCTGCAAGGAAGCCTTTTAAGGCACAGTTCTACTCGCTACCACTGGGGGCGCCGCGGG